TGTATAATAGTATTGGTAATATGTCTAGCAATTTATACATTCTTTATTAGAATGAATCATATTTTATTTCATGGGTGTCCTTTAGTATTCAGAAACTGATAAGGTGCAAGACGTGACCTCTYGTAGTTATGCAACACGCGACCTACCTGTAGGCCTCCAAAGCGCGTTTCTTGCACAACKTTTCCATCTCATCAACAAACACGTTTCCACCATAGTATCTCTGTCCAACCTGTCCTTCTGAGTATTTATTAGTCATACACGATCCCAAAGCATCCATGACGGCTTGACTGGTAAAGTTTTCTGAAGCAATCAACTCGAGTCCATTTATTTGTCTTTGTTTCTCTTTCTTCAGAATTTCGTAGATCTCAGGATCATTTTCAGAAAGTCGTTGTTTGAGACGAGGGAAGTCGTTCTCAAAGGCATTTGCAGAGGCCATTTTTACCTAATAAYTAAAGAATATTAATAAAAATGTAAGCTTAGTTTATTATGTGAATTCACCAAAGATTTAGCTTACATGTTTATATCAAATTAGGAGGGTAATTTCACCGAAAGTCTTACATTTTCCACTATTTGTAATCAGAATAGGGCACATTTTTGTAAAATTATTAATTTCGTAGCGAAATCTTACTTACCAAGATCAGTTGTTCGATCAAAAAGTTCTATATTTCAACGTGGCGTGCTGGAAAAGTACTATGTCGAAGTGATCCTCGAATTACGCGGTAAAATAGGACGAAAACGAGGCTTGGTTTTCTCAGTAGGGAGGGGAAAGGCAAGTTTGGGAGGGGAACTAGGAATACTATTTCTGTGATGACATGTTATCCTCCGAAGCATCCTTTTCYGGTAGTAGTTCGGGTTGGCGTTCGCTGGAAACAGATGCTTCAGAGAAGACTAAAAGATTTCATTTTTTTTTTTCGTCTGAAAAGTAGTGGGGAGGGGGAGGGGGTGTCGTTTCGCAAGTCAACGAACCATCCCTACCCACGACACCTTAGTGGACTTAGTGTGATCTGGTCGGTATTTCTGTCTTATGGTCGATGTTTCTGTCRTATGAAGTTCGTCGAATAAAGCAAGGCATGACTTTTAGCATTCATCGTAGAGTTAATAGTTGTAGCTTTCGCTCCTCAATTTTTCGGTTTTGTGTTCAAACATTGAAAAATTCAACCGAATTGGGTAGCGTAGGTCTTCCACATACATAAMATTTTCAATGTAAAAATAACGGGAGGCGTGGAAACTATTATGATTAAATATTATTGTGATCACATGACTAAGCATCGTGCCACCTACGCACAATATCAGAGATGATTAAGCAGGGACGTGAGCAGGATGTGGTTCCCATAGTTGGTTGGARGAGCCGAATAATTTCTATATAATCGTATAGCGTAAGACGATTCGAATGTCTTGGACGAATTATCCCATCTTTTTCATGTTTCCTTTGTTTGTTGTTGTTGTTGTTTTTTTTTTTCAGGTTCAGTTGTTCCTCTGCATGTCAGTGTTCCGATGCTGAGTTTAAAGGCTCGAGCACTGCTGTTCGGAATAATKTATTTTTCTCTTCTTGCATATGCGTTTTGTTATGTTTTCTGTGTTTGTTTRTTTGTTTAATTTGTGCTTTTTTATCGATTTTTGTCACTTTTTGTTTCTCTCTGCCATATTTTTTTTATCTTTTGGATTCCTTCCTTCCTTCCTCTTATTTTTTTGTGCTGTTGTTTTTATCCTGATTTTTTTCTCTTGAGATTTTCCCAACTTCGTCTCTCGGTCTTAAGTGATTTGAATAGGTCAGTCCTYGACATACTCTGGATTCGAACACTAAACTGTAGCCTTTTTTCGCGGTAAAATTGTGTTGGAAAGCCTTGTTATACACTCTCTGGGATATGTATGCTTGCGACGTGAAGCAAGTTGTTAGAAAATTACAGTTATATATTTCTAAATACTCAGTAGACTGATCTCTGCCGGACTTCCATCCCGGACTTCCATGAATGGACTATCGACGCCGGATATGCAACTGAAAATGAACCCCCGCTGATCCATGTATCATGTATTTTTCCAGAAACATCCGAAAATTACAGTGTTCCGAATAGAACAGCAGTAATGTAAACAATGTTCTTGTGTGTTTTTTTTTTTTTTTTTTTTTTTTTTGTCATTGTTTTGCAAATAACAAGTGTTCCGAGGACACAAAAACTCAGAGAAAAATCCAGTAGCAAGAATCGTCTTTTCAAGAAGTATGAAATTTAATCGTAGGTCATATCACTTCTGGGAAAACAGTCTTGGTGGGCATCATGTTGTCTAGTAGTGATAACTCCTTTGGTGGAATCCCAGAAAACAGTGATTTACAACCAGTAGTTTATTAACATCTGATCTATACAAAAATGATACATGTTTGAATCGGAATCACAGATCGAAGAGAGAGAGAGAAATCGCTCATTCTCTCTTGAWATCGATGGACYAAWGGCGGGGAATCCCCTAGGAAGTCATACCACAGCCTTTCCACGAACTATAAATTCGACTACGGATAAAACTGTTCATGTTAGCCTTCATWTAGACCTTTTAGTCATATTTCCTGAGAATATAAGTTATGCATTTTCCAGTATGTAAAAAGGTACACTAATTAATTTACTTTGAAACAAAGAACAATATTTGAGAAAATCGTACGGAATTATTAGCCTCTGTAGCAGACGTACCCTAACCGACTAACCTCTCCCGCGAGAATCGAACCGCTTGGAACGTCTGCTACGGAGGCTATGGAATTATGCCTTTGCATAGCTTTCTATCGACATCATCAGAACTTATTTCTATGTCAGTTTTAATTCATAATTCAGAGCACATTCAATTTAAGTACTACTAGCAATGCCACTAAAATAAATATGGACTATGAGTTACAAACTGTACAAGTTTGGCCAGTAATACATGTTATATACACTGTCATTCAGATAATTTATACTTACAAGTAAAATTAGTTTATATATTTGTATAACTCTGATAGAAAAAAACATTGATTCTTAGCATCTTGAGTTCCTGGAATTGAAATTAATGACACCAACAAGAGAGACCGAAAATGAAAATAAAAGTAATAATATTAATATAGATTTAAGAGAATATGTTGAAAGAGAAAACTGAAGTCAGCAGTCACACAGGAAAAGGGTGCTTTGAGATGTAGAGTCTTGCCATATCTGGAATTGGTAATTTCGAGATTCCCCCTTTGTTTAGACTTCTGTGAATCGTCCGTCTGCAAATGTGCTGCAGACTACATACTCGTTTATATAAGGGTTTATCAAGATATAGTTCATTTTTCCATACAAAGCCTTTCTTAGAATCCGTGTTCCGAGTTTCTCTGGATAGACGTATGTAGTACGTTACCAACTGGAGAACATTCTCGAACCTATGCAGTTTCGTTGAATCATAGGTGCAGCTTTCCAGGCTAAAGCGTCCATTTTCCATTGCAATTCTAATATTCGTAACACCCATCAAAGTTTTGACAGTCAACGTAAATAAGTACATTGGGTGTGAACTGTCCCTAACAAGAAATGTCCCAATCTGTGAGTTCGCTAATAAGGACTCTGCTCTTTCTTTGCTCAATCCTCTCCAATAAAAACCACTCTGTCGCAGACTTTGTAAGACAGACCCAATAAAACATTGAATACTCGATTCATCGGTCGTGATTACGGACTGCGACCCAGCGCATAGGAAGCTCTGGGTACGATCACCTATTTCATCCATACACATTTGTAAAGACCATATCAGAATAAGGGCTTTCATAAAGAACTGCCTTCACTTTTCTAAGTATGAATCATTTGGTTAAGAACATTTCTCAGAATGGAGAACAAACTTTTACTGGAAGTCAGGTTCTGAGAATTCTGCGTCACGCTGGCCACTTCCCGGAATAGCCCAATACATATGCCAAGGAAACCCATCACCGTTTGCCTTTTAAACACCAACTTGTACTTCTTAGATGATCATTGACAACATTATAATCGCGATTTTCCCAAAGTAGCTAACTATAATGACAACAAACGTCCAAACTCTTCGTAGTCGAGCCAATACGATCGAATATACGAGGCAAATATTTACATCATACACGGAAAATGTCGAAGCGGGAAGATTCTTACCACATATATCTTGTTTTMGTATCTTGTATTGTAAATACTTATTTCAGACTGCCTTTGGAAGCCACACATGCAAGGAAAAACGCTGAAAACACCATAAAACACTGTTTATAGTAGCCATGTGACTGCAGTGATAGATTTTWGTCAACACTCTGTACGTCAGGACTGGGACCCAGTCCCTTTCGTCCTTATGCACAGCCCACAATGCATTGTGATATTACAATCATTCTTTTTCGGCGCACAAGGAAGGGAGCTTGGACGGAGAAATTGCTCACAAACAGGTACCAATTGTACATTTTTGCAAACAGAAGTTCACCGGTTCTCAAGCTTCATGCAGTTTGTTGCTGAATAACTTAATTTATATGTCAAAAAAGATATTACAGTGCAATTTCAAAGCTTTTTCTCAMAGCAAAAAAAAATTATGCAATGCGAGCTTAACTTCTTAAGCTTAATCCAAGAATATTAAAGCCTAAATTTCTTTTAGAACAGCTTTACATAAAAAACGTTACTGGGTAATATTATTGAAAATTTCTTTACAAGTATTTTCAGMAACGATGTTGAATGTTCAAAAATATTTTATGGTTTCTTGCAGTCAAGAAAGGGAGAGTATTGGCAGGTAGGGGGTGGGGAGGGGATTGAATCTGCTTGAAAACTCAATGTTTTTGTTTTAATGTAGCTACTGCAATTACAATGACTCCTCTGCACTGCTTATAAAAGTTGAAGTAACATATGAAAAAGACTCATGGCAGACTTGAGAGGTTGAAATATTTTGAAATATTCCAAAATGGCTGACTAGCCCTTGATGTCTCGTTTTCATGAAATTGTTTTTTCTTTTATAAAGTCACTCAAGCTCAAAGACAAAAGAATAATTTAATTTCATAATAGTTGCAAACTTTGGACATTACAGCCTTTTGCAAAAATTATGAGAATTGTCGAAATATCTAAATATCATAATATCGAGTGCATGATGGGTAATCCTGCGCGATGCCCTTAGTCCCTTGTCTTTGTAGTTTAGTTTTTTTTTGGCGACAGACTTATCCGTAGTTCTGAACATTTTCTCGATGTCAACAATGAATTATTCTAGCAAACCCGCGTGTTCCGGACAATATATGGATATGGATATTATGATATTTAGATATTTAGACAATTCTCATAATTTTTGCAAAAGGCTGTATATNAGGGACTTCTCCCGGAATTGCCTCCTTCTAAGCACTATAACTTTCTTTCATTTCTATATCGTGTTTATCATAGTGCCATGCGGTCTTCATATTCATATCTTTACATTATTCTATTACCGCAACCTTAACATCTATTTCACCCCGACCTGCTCCCAGTCTGGCCTTGTAGCTCAGCTGGTAGAGCATCGGTGTACAAATCCGAAGGTCGTGGGTTCGAATCCCAGCGAGGTCGGAAATTAATTTTTCCGAATTTATTCCTAAGGGACTTCTCCCGGAATTGCCTCCTTCTAAGCACTATAACTTTCTTTCATTTCTATATCGTGTTTATCATAGTGCCATGCGGTCTTCATATTCATATCTTTACATTATTCTATTACCGCAACCTTAACATCTATTTCACCCCGACCTGCTCCCAGTCTGGCCTTGTAGCTCAGCTGGTAGAGCATCGGTGTACAAATCCGAAGGTCGTGGGTTCGAATCCCAGCGAGGTCGGAAATTAATTTTTCCGAATTTATTCCTAAGGGACTTCTCCCGGAATTGCCTCCTTCTAAGCACTATAACTTTCTTTCATTTCTATATCGTGTTTATCATAGTGCCATGCGGTCTTCATATTCATATCTTTACATTATTCTATTACCGCAACCTTAACATCTATTTCACCCCGACCTGCTCCCAGTCTGGCCTTGTAGCTCAGCTGGTAGAGCATCGGTGTACAAATCCGAAGGTCGTGGGTTCGAATCCCAGCGAGGTCGGAAATTAATTTTTCCGAATTTATTCCTAAGGGACTTCTCCCGGAATTGCCTCCTTCTAAGCACTATAACTTTCTTTCATTTCTATATCGTGTTAATTAACACTAGGCATTCACACTACAGGGCTCGAAATAACGGCAGGTCAAAGGACAATGTCATTCCAATTTCGCTAGATGACCTGCCAAATCGGGTTTTGAAAGGACAAATTGACCTCCCACATTTTTAGACAAATCAATTCTAAATTCGCTAAATAAATCTTTTACAAGCCATTAAAATGTTTGCCGATCTTTCTAAATACATATAACTTATAAATTAAAAGAAACAATAGTTTGTTACTAAAGTTTTTGTCTTTTCAAAACTTGAAATGACCTTCCACAAATGAATTTGGAAGGACATCTTGTCCTGCATATGTCTGGCCGTTATTTCGAGCCCTGACACTACAATATTACACAAGGATTCAAAAAGAAATGTAAAAAAACTGTGAAAATGAACAATGTAATATAATTATGTTCATATCATACTGACGATATACTCGTATGAACTACCATTTTTAATGATATTTTGATCATGTGACATTTGAGTGCAGTTGAAGAAAATAGAATAGGTTTTAGAATAAATTCAAAATTTCAAGATAACACATGAATGTTTAAAACCCTCAAAAGTGTTTGATCAAGTGGTTACAGGATATGGACACATACATATTTCAGACAAATATCAAAACTTCAGATATTTTGGAAGTAAATGTTTCTCCAAAATGCACAAAGCATTTATAGATAGCTAAATAATGTAATTTCACAAAATTAAAGTGCAAAACATGATATAATCATTGAAAAAGAACATGATACTAATAAGCTTAAATGACATTTAATCGTAGTAATACCTAGAAAAGTACATGCAAAAGTATTTGTTTCAAAAACGTTTGTTGAATTTTGAACCCGGTTGGGGTAGTAGTTTTGTCTGGGATAGGGTATTAGTTTTGTCTGGGATAGGGTAGTTTTTTGTCTAGGATAGGGTACAGTCTCATTGTCTGGGGTAGGGTGGAGTTTTGCCTGTGATCGTATCTGCTAGGCCATGCTTTTAGCGCTAAAATAATGTACCTTAATTTGTACCTTTAGTCTAGGGTAGGGTATGTAAAATGAAAGAAATGKTCTGGGATAGGGTAAGGGTTTTGAGAGTCATGCAGCATACCCCCACCCAAGTTGTGGAGGGGGATTTTTAAATTCGATGGCTGGAAAATGTCCAACAAAGTTAATTTTTAACTGGTCAAATTCCAAATTCGACCAGTCATTGACCGATGTCTGGCTCTTATTTTTTCGACCTGCTATAATRTCACCATTAAACTGATTGTATTTGAACATAAGATTGAAAGAAATTGCTATAAACATGAAAAATCAAAGCAAAATTAAATTGTTTTCACTGCAAAGAAGACGGAATATTCATAGGGAGGGAATGCTTGAGAAACAAGCTCTTTCAATATTCAGTATTTTATTTATTTTACTTAAGATTATTTTTTATTTTTACAGAGGCACTGTTGGCATCAAATAATGAGTAACCAGAGATCTCATAGAAGACTGCAAACTATCACAGGGCATTTAGCTAAATCTCCTGGTTTGGAAACCTGTGCTCAATCACCACASCAAACCCACAAGGAATTTCCCGGGAGACATGATGAACTGAAGTGGAATGGTTGGGGATATTCAGATTCCAAGTTTGATATCAATGATAAAGGAAGGGCTTCTTTCACAGGGTCKAGATATTTGTTAAGTGGTCAAGTCTTTCCAAAGCTTGTGGATTGGTTTGAAAAAGAATGCAGTGCTGATATAACAAAAAAAAGCCCAGCAAATCCTTTGCCAAAACCAGAATCCCTGCCTAAACCAGTGATAAATGAATCATTCCTGGAGCAAATGAAGCACTTGCACATTGAACATACTCTTGATCCAATCATGAGGTTAATGCATGGTCATGGCCACACTGGACATGAAATATTTCTGTTGCGTCATGGTCATTTTGAGAGAATTCCAGATATTGTGGTATGGCCAAAATGTCACAAAGATGTGGAGATGGTAGTGCAAGCYGCTGTCAAGTCTAATGTGTGTATTATTCCCTTTGGGGGTGGTACAAGTGTGTCAAGTGCTYTAGAGTGTCCTAGTGATGAGAACAGGATGATAGTGTCTATGGACATGACAGAGATGAAGAGAATATTATGGATTGATGAGGAAAACCTAGTTGCCCACATTGAAGCAGGAATCATTGGAGAAGATCTTGAACGGCAGGTAAATAATTGAAAATTCCTTTTTTTCCTTTATTATTCCTTATTTTCTGTTTCTACCCTCTTATGCATAATGATGATGAAGGACATGAGAGAAAATGTTTCTTGGAAAGTTTCTTGGGACAAATGCCCCTTAATGCTACTAAAACCTCATGAGAGAACTAATGTTTGGTAATCCATTATAAAGTGCATATGATTCCAATAAACTAGAGTTGTTTCATCCGAACGCCCCAGCCTACGGCTTGATATGATTGTTTAAATTGAAGCAGAAATTGTTCATACAGTTGAAGGCCTCTCTCTTTGTTGTCAGCTTCAAGCTAAAGGTCTTTGTGTTGGTCAYGAACCTGATTCACTGGAATTTAGTTCTCTTGGTGGCTGGGTCGCAACTCGTGCATCAGGAATGAAGAAGAATATCTACGGTAACATCGAGGATATCATAGTCCGTATTAGAATGGTAACACCTCAAGGAACTGTGGAGAAGAGCTGCCAGGTTCCACGCATGTCTACAGGACCGGACATTCATCATTTTATTCTTGGTTCAGAAGGAACTCTTGGTGTAGTGACAGAGGTGACTCTACGCATCCGTCCTGTCCCGCAAGCCAAGATATACGGATCTGTCGTGTTCCCTACCTTTGAGGCAGGAATTATGGCTCTTCGTGAAGTTGCCAAGCAGCGTTGTGCACCAGCTTCTATTCGCCTTATGGACAACCAGCAGTTTCGTTTTGGCCAAGCGTTGAAGGGAGAGGAGGGGTCTTTTTTCAGGTCTCTTCTCGATGGTATCAAAGCTATTTATCTCACGAAGTTTAAAGGGTTTGATCCAAATACTTTGGCTGTGGCTACTTTACTATTTGAAGGCACAAGCGATGAAGTATTGATACAGCAGCGAAGAATCTACGAGATCTCTGCTAAGTTTGGAGGAATTCCTGCTGGCGAAGACAACGGGAAAAGGGGATATATGTTGACGTTTGTCATTGCCTATCTCAGAGATCTGGGATTCGAGCATTATTTTCTAGCAGAATCCTTTGAGACGTCTGTTCCCTGGGACCGAGTCGCAACTCTTTGTGTGAATGTGAAAGAATGCATCACAAGAACATGTGCAGAGCTGGGAGTCARGTATCGACCATTAGCCACTTGCCGCGTCACACAGACCTACGACGCAGGAGCCTGTGTTTACTTCTACTTTGGATTTAACTACCAGGGCATCGATCACCCTCTTGAAGTCTATGATGCAATTGAGAGCGCGGCGAGAGATGAGATATTGGCCAGTGGCGGTAGTCTTTCTCATCACCATGGAGTTGGAAAACTCAGAAAAAAATGGTTACGAAAAACCATTTCTGATGTTGGCATGGAAATGATAAAGTCAGTCAAGAATTCAATCGACCCAGATAATATTTTTGGAAATGGAAATTTGTACTAGATGATAATATATGWAACATGGTAAACATATACGTTACAAAGTGAGGCTGATATATTCAATTGCTGAAAGGTTGTGGATTGTGATATGTACTTAAGTATATGATGAGATTCATAAAACAGATMATCAGATGCAGTCATCACTTTAAATTTATGACAAACAAGAGAATAATACCAAATCAATAACATTCCATGGGAAGAATGCGCATGTCTCAATCTACAACCTTTTTGCAATTGACTGTTTATTATTTCTGTGACTATATACCAYGGTTTTTAATTATATTCTTGAATACTCTGCCTTCTGAATATTTTTATTAGACATTCATAATAAATGCTCGAAATGATGAACACCATCGCAAAAAAATGAAATGACAATTACAACTTGCTGTTTTTAGGTATTTTATGAACATGGACGTGTTGTTAAAGTGGTTTTAATAGCATGTGTTTGTATGAGTGGGAATAATTATTAATAACAAAAATGAGATTAGGATAATACAATTGAAACAAGAATKTATTCTGATAAAAATAATAATTCACGATTTTGTGAAAAGTAATGAAACTCAGTACGAATTGAATAACTGGGACGGATTGTTCAAAGCTCCATTACCGCTACTCTTGAACTAACTCGTAAAAGGACATGGATTAAACCTGTAGAGGAGGCTACTCTAWATGAATTCTTTATATTACTATAATTATTTGATTTCTAGAAACTATTAATTTAAGGTAAAGGAGTAAAAACCCGTAATAAATTGTATGAAGTGTATTGTTCTCAGAGTGAAGGGTTTAGAGATCCCTTTCTTAGTCTATGAGTATTTCTAAATCAAATGACCGATTTTATATATCATAACTTAATAACTAGAAGCAAAGGAATAAAGTGAGAACATGTTTTCTCAGAATTTAATTACAAGAGATAACTGGCGCTATACTTGTGGTGTGTTGTCTCGGTTTTTCTAATAAATAGTGATTACGAGAAAAATCTGCATACACCGTATAAAGGTAGACACATCAACAATTTTGGAAGTTATTCTTTTTTCGGTTACTGTATTACTCTTGTCTTTTGCTACGCGCAAAATAAAATATCTTGATTTCTCATTCGGTCTTTTTCGCTGTGTTATTAATTTATCCATTTATCTATAGAGTACAAACACTAAAACTGTGCAACATAAATACTACTAAATACTGCTAAATTTTGCTAATTCTATTGTTTTCTATTGTTTAATTAACACTATTTTGTAGTAAATAGTGGAARGTGTTGCACACATTTAATGTTTGTACTCTCATTGTGTCGTTTTTGAACGCGAGGAATTTAGGCGTTTCACATCTGTTTTCAGTTTCTTGGCGTTACGTTTTAGGAAGGCGTACAGTTTGCCAGTATRGTTATTTGGTTGGTTACCATGACGATCACCATGACAATGATCGACAGAGTTCACTTGGTTGACGTTAAACGATTTTGCCGCTTTATTCCAACATGGGTTTAGCAATATCAAAGCTCTGCTTTCATGGTAGAATTGAAGAAGATTGTTGTTTCTCGGACAAGAAATACAAGCGTTTTTATTCAAAAAATGGTCATCAACCCTACCAGGTTGTCATGCAACTGACGGGCGATGGTTTTGCGGGCGGCACTTCCCCTTTCCATGTCAATGAACACGTTTCTGTGCGATATCATTATCAGTACCAATGCATCTTCGCCCCTAACGATGACTCTACAATCATCTATGGTAAGTTGACTTTTTTTATGTATTTATAAATCTATACAAATTTAATTTAGTATACAGAGATTGATAGCAAACCTTCTGACTGCCAACATATATCTTTATATTTGGTAGTTTCATGTAACTTTCGATGCTTTTCGGTCCTTTACCCCCAAAATCGATTAACTGAAATTATGCATATTAAAAAGTTTTTCCAATATATTGTGCAGTTTAGTGACAAATTAAATGTTTGATTTTGAAATACGAGTTACTCTATAGCTGCCAGAATTCTTCAAATGACTAAATCAGTGCTAGGTAATATATTGGTGTAATACGGCGTTATAATTGTCTATAATACTATGGAATGTGTCTTATTCATTACTATAAACTTTAACCCGTGCGTATTTGCGTTATATTGCATTAGTTTTCATTATTTTTATTACTCTTGATTTCTCATTCGGTCTTTTTCGCTGTGTTATTAATTTATCCATTTATCTATAGTCAGAATACAAWCACTAATACTGTGCAACAAATACCACTAAATACTGCTAAATTATGCTAAGTCTATTGTTTTCTATTGTTTAATCAACACTAATTTGTAGTAAATAGTGGAAAGTATTGCACACATTTRATGTTTGCACTCTATAACTGAAAGTGCACGTCATATTTTTTTTCAGACTGTGTGTGTTCGTATTTATAGTACGTACTCTCATCTTACCCTTGAAAATTCAGTCTGAGCTGTATTCTCAATTCACGTATTACTAGTAATATATGTGCATTTTGGCAGATCCAGCTGTTAGGCTCAAGCCAACCTATGAAACATTGTAAGCCWTAAATACTTTTCGGTCTATTTTGTCTCGTTTGCACCCCCTCTTTGTGTGACTGACTCCTACCACTTCCAAAAAAATAGTTGTGGATCCGCCCCTGAACTTTGGTAGAGAACTTGTCCAAGTAGATCATCGCACTTAAACCGTGCAACCGTACAAAATCTAAGTAGTGCTATTTTGTACTAAAAGTGGACCTGAWGCAAGACGATGCTTCATTTGTATCAATTTAATTTGCGTTGCGCATCAACGATCTATGAAATACAACCAAATAGCACTATTYAGTTTGTACAGATGGACGGTTTCAGTGCGATCACTCTATGTACAATGACTTTTTATCAAATAATTACTTTGATTATAGCCCTRTGATATTCAGTTCATATTCCAGCATTACATAGCTGTTTTCAACTTCATAATGATTTGTTTCTAGGCGTGACAATTGAACAGTCCCATAATCAATGCAGTGATGATACTAGAAATGATTCGTCTTCCACCAAGAACGAAAGGTTTAAGCTTTTCAAGCGTTGTTGGGACTTATCATCTCAGAATACTACAACTGTCGCTCGCCATTCGACTATTACCTCTGGTCCTTGGAGCGTTGCCTCGAATGGAAAATACATTTGTTCTCAAGCAATGAAGCTATGGCGGGAAGAAGACGTTTTTATTTCAAGAGGAGATGATGTTGAAAGCGACGCAGTTTGTTGTGGATTTGAAGGGATTGTCAACGAATTTCGTAAACTGTATCCTCAAACTTGCCCATTTTCTCCTGATGGTACAAAGGTTGCTTGTACTTTCGAGTCGAACAACAATGGTCTTCAACTTGCAATTCTTCATCCAAGCTCAATGGATATTATACACATCATCAAAGCATCAAAAGAATGTAAAGGAATTAAAGGTACAGTTGCAAGTATGACTTTCTCGCCGGACAGTGCTTACTTAGCAGTAGTCTCATCTAAAGGTCAGGTGTACATACTACGTTCATCGGGACTGAAACTGCGCCATGCTCTTAATAGTGAACAAGTCATCTATCCATTAGAAACTTTAGATCCATCAATCAATGAGCCAAGTTCCTTAGAGTTTGATCCGAGGTACGATAACAAGGTTTTTGCAACATGTACATTTTACAGAAGCTTGGTCAAGATTTGGGCTGTAGTAAAAAACGAGCAACGTACATGTATTGCTACACTCTACAGTATCCATTTCCCTAGAGTCGTCAACGTGATTAAGTATTCAACCGAAGGAGACGTTCTTGCAGTCGGTTGTAACGAGGGAGTCATTACCTGCATCAACACCAACGATGGTACAGCAGTGTTTGATCTAAATACAACCAATCAGTCACCTGAGTTTCGTAGCAACGCGGGAATCTATCACCTTTCATTTTCACGTACAAGTGAACAACTTGCGGCGAGTTACAGTGATGGGCACATTCGTGTGTGGCAGATTCCGTCAGACATCAACCTACAACACAGTTGTCGAGTTGTGATTAATGCGTCAGTTCCTGAATCCAAGGTTATGCAGTTACCTTTACCAAATAAACTAAAACGATACTTATTGTACAAATGCTTCTGATTGCCATGACTTGAATTGTTGTATTGGATAGGTAGATAGATTTGATTTGTCTTCTGATTGCCATGACTTGAATTGTTGCATTGGATAGGTAGATAAATTTGATTTGTCTAGGATTGGTAATCAGTGGGAAATTCTAAGGAAAACGTTCTCTTGTACATCATTATCTTGAATGCTTTCCTTTCTTGTTTTTTTTACGTGTACTATTCGGCTTTTTGAAAGTAACTAGGCCCTGCGAAGCTGGGGTCACGTGACAACACCAACCTTAAGTCAATCACCTATCACAAAATGATGCCCAGAAATGAAAAGAGCAGGTTGATAAAAATACCCTTGCTCACCAATTCTATTTTTGCATAGGTTTTTCTTTTTCAAGTTGATTTTAGTTTAAGACTTGAAACTGTCTTCCTTACTTATTCTGACCTCCTCTTTACTAAACTTTCTGG